AATTAATAATAAAATAATACAGATATGATAAAATAAGATAACAAAATATATAAACATATAAATAAATAATTAATAAAAATAAAATAGAGATAACAACAGTTAGGGCTCTGATATATTTCTTCTTTGAGATTATTTAATCTTGAGTATGTTGGTAATTCGTCACAGATTATTTTAATTCTGAAATGTTCTTAAATTTTGATCTGTACTTGATGTTTCTCTGTTGATTAGTTTTGAGTAGATTAAAGCTTTTTTCGTTACATTCCAATCTACTGTTTTTTCTATATTTCTATTGAAGGACTGAATAAATCTTAATTGTGTTTTCCAATTGATTAGGTTTTGAATGTTAGTAATGTCTTTGGATAATTCTTATATTGGATAATCTAAGAATTTGTTTCCATTTTTTAATTGATAATTTTTTACAAATTTATGTTCATAGTTAAGATCTTCTATCATTTTACTTGTTGTTCCCTTTTGGACTAGTTCGTCTGCTTTATTATTTAGAGGTATTCCTGTGTGTACTTTTATTTTAGTTAGTTTAAGATTTATATTTTTCTCTATTATTATATCTTTTATTATTAGTAATAAGTTTGAATTTTTATAGATTTTTTGGTATTTTCTTTGTTTGGAGTAGACAAAGTTGTTATTGAGTCTATTGAGCTTTTTGAATCTGTGAAGATTCTATATTTGAGTTGTTTGGAATTATTGCTATAGTTAACACTATTACTACTAATTCTGCTCTTGTTAATGATGGTAGACCTGTTGTTTTTCCATTTAATTCTTTAATTATTTCATTTGTAATTTGGTTTATTAGGACTATTCCGTATCCCATCTGTGTTTGTTGTTTTGTTAGTGATTTACTGTTATAGGTTTTTTTCATTAATCCATCTGTGTATGCTATATAGTTTTTTATATTATTTTTACTAAGGTTGTTGTATATGTGTTGTAGATCTTATTTTTTTGTTCTACCTGCACGAATGGACAGTTAAAGTTACTCTCGTTACTTTGCTTTCTTTCTCTTGTATGTTGGTAATTGGTTTCATTTTTTCATTTTTTTGTATAATTGCTTTGTCAATTGAGTTAGGAGAGTAAAAAAGGTATCTTTCTTTTGTTGTTTTTTCTTTTAACTTGATTTTGTATGTGTCTTCTTTTAATATTTCAAAAATACATTTTATATTTTTATAATTTTTTATTTTGATTTTTTTTTTTTAATTTTTTTAAAGTTTTTATTTGTTCTTCTGTTTTATAAGTTTAATTTAAGTGATATTCATTACATAGATTTATTATATTGATTTGTGTATATATAATGTTCTATTAATATGTTGTTACTTTCATTGTCAGGTGTTTTAAGTATTCTTCTGATTGTTAGTTCTTGTGAACATTGGAGGTTAATATATTTTACCATTATTAATTAGTTTCCTTCCTATTGGCTATTTATATTTTCTTCGAGAAGTTGGAATTGATTATTTAGTAAACATTCATTGTCGATATTTATTTAATTATTATCAAATTTTCTTTTATTATTTTGTACCATTTTGATATTGTACTTTTTTTGCAATATTCTGTTATTTGGCTTCAGCTTCTTAACTTGATATAGTTTGAATTATTATTTATTATTTGTTCTATAAAAATTATGTTGTCATTTTTTAGTTGGCTTCTCATTTTATTATATTCTTTAATTCCTTTATCACAGAGAACAATTCCAAGTCATATGTCCAGTCTGTTCACAATGATAGTAATTAGATGGATTATTATAACTTCTGAAGCTTTGTCCTCTATTGTTATTATAACTATTATAATCTTGTCTTCTATTATTATTATATAATTTGGTTTGTTATTGAAAGTATTAAGTGCTCTTTTTCCTTTTTCAATAATCTTCTACAATGTTTTGGCAATAGGTATAAAAGTTTTCTGTATTATTCATTCTATTGCGTCTTCACTGTCATTACTTTTATTTCAAAAAGATACAGATCCTTGTATACTCATAGTATATCCTATTATAGCTTTGAAATAGGTTTAAGTATTTTCTTCAAATTGCTTGACTGTTCGGATCACTTTTTTCAAGGTTGGCTTCTCTTGAGACATAATAAATGGTCGGGCTTGATAAGCAATATCTTTTCATAATCCTTTCAAAAACTGCCAGACTTTTTTATCTTCACTTTATCTATTATTACCATCTATTCGTTTAATTAATTTTTTAATATCGTTTGAATATTGTTCTACACTTTCACCTAGCTTCTGTACTTTCATTTGTAATTCGAATTTCCATTGATTTATTAATGCAGTTGTTCAGAAAGTGACCAAAAAGGATGTTTCAAAAGAAATCTGGTTTCTATCATTTCAATGGTTAATGGTGCTCTGTCTTTCTTGCACTTCATTAAACCATTGTCCTGCTGTACCCTGTAGATATTCACTAACAACTTTGAGTTTGTATTCATCGGTATATTGGTTTATTCTTGTAAACCAATTAATCTCTTCTAACCAGTCCATAGGATCTTGTTTTCTCTGAAAAAGAATAGCATTCTTGCATCATTTCTTATACGAAAAGTATTTTGGAGATCCTGTATTAGAGCATTCACCTCATTTTCCCTTGCATTTATACTTGATTTGGTATTTTTCTTTCATTTATACAGTTTGACGTATTGTTCTATAAGATTTTGTAAAAGTAAT